TCATATCATTTCAGTTTGTCAGATTGAATCATTCACTATGTTCAGAATCTCAGAATGGAGGAAATTGGACATTTAACACTATTCTATTGATATTTTTCCCATCTCATCAATTTTCTTAGTTGATCATATAAAAATGGCAGTAAACTGTTAATTTTGTTTTATGTTAAAAAATTGTTAAAAATGGGAAAACACCCATTTCAGAACAGTGCTGTCTTGTTTACATTTTGGCATTTTCAAGGTGTGACTTTGAAGTTCCATGGGCCTGAACACCTTTGCTAGTCACATTTTCTGAATATCCATGATACTAATATTTTATTATTAAAAATTGATGGTCATTATGCTGTTAAACATAATGTAATATTGCATCAAAATTTGAAGAAACCCCTATTTTGGGCACTGCTTCCATGATGACCATTTAAGGAAAACCATGTCACTTACTGTTCTCAAACTTACAGGAAAGAAACACAGGACTAAAATACAGCTTCAGTAAGCAATGCAGTCTTTTTGGTAAATTTTTTCTGGCAATTAAACATTTTTTTTTTTTTTTTTTTTTTTTTTGTGAAAATTTAACTTTTCACATATTGGCATTTTCAAGGTGTGACTTAGAACCTCCACGGGCTTGAAGACCCATGCTATCCATTATACATATATTTTATTATTAAAAGTTGATGGTCATTTTGCTGTTAAGCATTATGTAATATTGCATTAAAATAGAAGAAAACACAATTTTTGGTGCTGCTGCCATGCTGACCATTATGGGAAAACCATGTTACTTATGATTATCAAACTTTCAAAAAAGAAACACAGGACTTAAATGCAGCCTGAGTTGGAAAAGCAGTCTAATTGGCTCTTTTTCTGGAAGTTATACATTTTAGTGAAATATTCATTTTTATTGTGTTGGCATTTTCATTGTGGGACTCAGAGCTCCCATGGACATAAAGCCATATGGTAACCAAATTTTCTACATGTCCATGCTATTTAAAGTCAATAATCAAAAATTGGTGATAATTATTCTGTAACTTATTATGTAATGTTACATCAAAATTGTCAAAAATGCACTGGTACTACAAACATTTTGAAAAGAAAACTGTGTTACTTATTATTATTATTATTTTTCCTCTTAACACACATTTTAATGTATCCCACACTGTTGTAGGGTCTGCTTCATACTTCAACTCACATACTTCTTGAATTTTGGCTTTGATTAAGTTGACTTTAGATTCTTTGTGAAACACTCCTAGTCGACTGCAGCATAGTTGACCTAGCTAGGTCACTCAGCTGGAGCTAGTCAACTACGGATTTAAGATTCTTTGTGAAAAGGGGGCCAGGTCTCTGGTCTAAAAACAAACTGACAAAGTTTTAAGAGAAGGTGGTAGCTGACATAATTATGTAGAATTGAATATTTTCAGGGAATTTCAGGATCATGTAACTCAACAAAAAAACAAAGGAAATTGGGATGCAATGTAGCATGATGCTTTGATGCAGCACAAGGAAATTAGAGTAAAGTGTGTGTGTCAGTATAGCAATGGAATGATGTATATGTTTAATTGTAGGAAACATGTGGTTTTTGGCCATGTCATCAGAGGACAGGATGTTGTAATAGCTATTGAGAACCAGAAGACAGATGAAAATAATCGTCCTATCAATGAGGTTAAGATAACCAGCTGTGGAGAGCTTATTTTGCAGATTAAACAAAAAGGTAAGATTTTTGAAAAGAGAGCTTATTTGATTTGTAGATTGTATGACGAAGGAGGTGAACAAAAGTTTTCATAACTTGAAAATAATATTATATTCTTCTAAATATTTCCTGACCTGTTTACAAGGTGCCAAATAAAGGTAACAGAGTAAACAGAGAGAGAGAGATAATCTCCGCTTCAATTACACAGACATGCTGAAACTGTCGGTCCGATCAGTCATGACTGGCAAAATTTTTCTGGACCAATAAAAAATCGGACTTGGTTGGTCCAAAATTCTAAACATAGATTGTGGCAGTGCCACGGCATGTAACAGCTATGTGAAGTCTTGTTTTAAATTTCTGAATTTTGAAAACCTTCCCTTTTTATGTTCAGACACAGATGTATCTGTATATACAGCTGTCGCCTGTGTTTGTTGTTGTCATTGTTGTTGCCTTGCACTTTCAGTGTTATACAAATAAGATGAAAAACGTTTTACTTTTTGTGTTCAACTTACAGAACTGAAATCAAAAGTTGTTTTATTTTATTATTTTTTTTTTAGCATATTTTATCCATTGTCATACAAATTGGAAATCTTTCTATTCACTGTATTGCATCGGAATTCTCAAAATGACCTATATTGTGCATCAGTATAGTCTTTACATTTGACACCACTGCAACCTTGTTTCATTATCAGTACCTAATGTTATATAACAATGTCTTCTGAAATATACAGAAGACACTGCAGTTTATACATTACTGGAAATATTTGAAACTTAATTATCTAATTCTATATTGAACAATTGTATTGGTTCATCATGAAATGAGAATGCACAGTGTGCATGCACGTCAGTAGCACAAGGCGGGAAGTGCGTGGTTAGCAAGAATTTTCTTGCATGTATGTATTTTGACATTTTTGTCAATACATATTGGTGTATTCTGTTCTTTTTTGGCAATACATCTTTTTTCCAACATGTTGGAGAAAAATGAGCTGGCGAAGTTAGACTTGGAAAAATAAACAAGTGGCTAAAAGTAGTGAGAAATCTGCTGGCGCTGAAGACCACTAGTGTTGCTGCGAAAATCGCAACAAACCAAGAATCGAAGATTCTAGAATACTTGCAAAGTCTGAATGAAAAACAGACATCTAACGATGCCAAATTGGACATGTTATCTTCTAGGAAAACTGATACAGAGGAAACGGGAATGATGAATACTAATGTACAACAATAGCCAGGCATTATTATGTAAAGCCAGCGTGCAAAAGACTGAAATCTTTACAGCGACCTCTTGAGAATGAGGTCAATCATCAGAGCAATTTTGCAGATATGGCCTAGTGTTTTATGAATGAGGACTTTGTGGGTACTCCATCGGAGGAAACTTTAGCAGCAGACATTAGTGTCATACGCCGACTCCGAGCCTGATTCAAGATCAGAAAAATCAAGTTCGGCTGTTTTATTAGCTGCTTGAGTGATTAGTGTGGAGCTTTTCACCAGAGACGAACCCACTATCTGCAGCATTTTGTCTGTGTGCTTATTTGTGGTGCGTATATAACTGCCAAATCATCTTATTGCTAGGGCCCCCGTGGTGAGTGCCTGGCAATTCTCTGGTCTCGAAATACTCTCAGCCGTCTCCTTCAATTATATGCAAAGATGCATTGGCCATCTGTTTGGAGATGTTGCCTCTTACACAGCTAGAGTGTTGGAATACTCAGCCAAAATAAAGAATAAAATTCAAGGCAGATAAGACGTTTATAAAGGAACCTGTAAACCCAGTAAAAACAATACACTGGGCAAGCCAACTATGCTGGAAAACAGCAAGGCAGGTACACTGAAAAGTTCTCAGGGTATCAGACGACCCATGGCAGTGAGCCTAAGGGAATTTGGCGCAATGACTCAAAATAAATAGGGTAAATATACTGCCCTTATGTCATAAATTGGGAGTTAGGTTGAAATACTTCTCCTCTCAATGGGAAACAAATATGCATGACAAAAAATATTTCTGACATTGTGAAACATTGTCATTGGTTTTAATGAAAATGCTCTGCTTATGAAACATTGAGTGGCAATTACATAATGTTTCATTCACCAAGGTATGTGAATATTACAGTTGATTTATTTGCAACAAGAATATGCAAGAAGGTAGAACAATTTTGTTCTCGAACACCACATCCTGGTGACACATTTAATGATGTTTTCAGTTTAAGTAGAAAAAATTTTGACTTTAATTGTTTTTCCTCTATTCAGCCTCATGAGGTGGCTGCAGAAAATAAAAACAGTCGAAACAAGAGTTGTTATGATGGTACATTTGTGGACAAAAATATGGTGGCCAATGTGTAGTTGTTAATGCAGATGCTGGTCAAAACTTTGATTTTACCACTTGGGGAAAAATCTTGATGCTGCAGTATTTAGAAAAGGTTCATTCTCTGTCCATTAAAAATGACTTTGCAATTTGCAAGTTATCAGGAAGTATTAGAGACTGGGGGTTTCAGAACTATCAAACAACATTTTTATGGCATTGAGAGCAAAGGCTAATTGCTAAATGTCAGTACAAGTCATATTTATCAAAGTGATTTCATGTCTGTTGCGAGCAAAGTATTAATCTGTTTTGTATTTCCGTGAATGATTTTACGGAGTTTTTAGCTGATCTGTATAACAAGGGTCGTGGATATAGTTCCTTGAATGCAGCCAGGAGTGCTCTGTCACCACTTGGAATTTTGCTGGAACGTTATTTGGCATGATTGCACCTACAAGTGATTTGTTATATGAAAGATGTATTTAATCTACACCCACATATACTAGTAGATATACCTGTGTGGGATGTTGATCAAGTTTAATGTTACTTAAATATCTCCTTTACCTAATATTAGTCTGAAAGACTTGATTTGGAAACTTACTATGCTTATTGCATTAGTAAATGTTGCCAGAATTCAAAATGTGCACTTGTTAACTGTTCAGAATTTTTTAAAGTTGATATCTAAATGTTTTCTGTTTTGACGGTTTACTTACACAAGCAGAGTAGACAGAAAGAACTGTCTAAAGTTCGTTTTAAAGCTTATCTTCCTGATAAGAGACTTCGTCTTTACATTGTCACGAAGGAAATATACTTAAAACTTACTAATATGTTGAGACACTTTAAAGGAAGCAGGTTGTCAATAAGTTTCAGAAAACCACATAAAGCAGTGTCAAAGACACTATTGCATGGTGGATCAAAGTGGTCTTAATAAGATCAGGAATAGATACTGTGAAGGGTGATGCTCATAGTGTGAGTGCAGCATCAACCTCTAAGGTTATAATGAAATAGGCTGGTTGGTCAAATTAGAATATGTTCCATAACAAAGAAATAGTTGAAGATGACGTAGTGAAAGTTGCACTTATATTAGGTAAGTGAACTTTAGTCAGTTTATTTATAAACTGTTTATGTGTTTGATGAATAACCAATAAAGTCTTTCTTTATGAATTTAAACATGAGTTCATGTTTCATTTTGCATGATATATGCCTTAAAGTCTCATTTCATGATGAACCAATATAATTGTTCGATATAGAATTAAAAAATTAAACGAAACTTACCCGTAAGTTGATGTTTGATTGTAATAAAGGGAACCGGAGAAGATCAGCATTGGTCAGAATTGTGCCGGAAATGACGTGCAGTGGTGTTAGAAACGAAGCTGAGTGGTCATTTTAACATAGAGGTGAACGGCAGTGAAGACGGGTTGTCGGAGGAAAAAGAAGTTTCCTAAACAACATGGTAAGATAATTCTCTTTTTTTACGCATTTTGGGCAGAGAAAACTTGTAGAAATAATAAATGCATGATATGAAAACGTGACACGGAACTTGAAGGTGCAAAATCGTGCTTAATTTGCGGTCAACTTGTTTAGAAATAAATGCTGCGTCGACCGCCAGCGCGACAAAAAGCGTAAAGGGGAAATAATTCCCGGGAGTCTATAAATCGTTGTCATGTGGAAATTTGGCATTAATATAATCCGATATGTCCATATCTAAGTATTTTTGGGTGTTTTATGGTATGGGCTGCAATTAAAACGATGTTTTAGAGGTCTTGAAGGACCTTGTGAAAACCAGGAAGTAGTTCGTAACTAACAAGTGGAATGTACCGATCTCCAACTGCTGTGCACAGCTGTATCTTTTTTTCAATATATTGACGAATTTTTAGATCTTTATATGTCCATCTGGCATGAAATTCCACACACATGATCACACTGATATACCTTTTACACTGGGGAAGGCGCTAATCAGTGACAAATGCCAAGACAAAGGTGAC